CCCATTACACTGGTGGAGAATGCGGGCAAATCAGTGAAGAATCACAGACAAGTGATTCTCTTCACCTCACCTTTTCCCTTGTTTTTGTCTCTGGGTTCTTTCACAGGCGAGCGCTCCTCCCCCAACATGGACGAAATCCTTCAGTGGCTCACCGAGGTTAGCATCCGCCAGCAACAGATCGTTGAACACCTCGCCACCCGTCAAGGGGAGACAGAGCAGGAGCTCGAGGCCCCTCGTGCCGCCGCAGCTCAACGAGTTCCACTGCCGGACCCCCGAGTACAAGCTGCGAAGCTGCTACCCAAGCTGACTCCTCATGATAAAGTAGAAACCTTCTTACAAATGTTCGAAGCGACGGCCACCACGGAAGGATGGCATAGGGACGACTGGGCACGGGTGCTGGCTCCCCTGCTGACGGGCGAAGCTCAGCGTGCATACTTCGCTCTTCCCGCCACCTCCGCCGATCAATATAAGGAGGTCAAGAAGGAAATTCTAACCCACCTGGGGTTATCCCCGATCTGTGCCGCCCAGCACTTCCACGAGTGGGAATATAAGCCCCGTCTGCCTGCCCGTGTCTAGGCCGCCGAACTCACGCGACTCGCGCAGCACTGGCTGCTGGAGGGGGCTCCATCGGCTGGTCAGGTGGCGGAGCGCGTTGTGATAGACCGTCTCCTCCGAGCCCTTCCCCGGTCTCACCGACAGGCAGTTGGGATGAGGAACCCAACCACCACCTCGGAGCTGGTGGAGGCTGTCGAGCTGGCGGATGCGGCCCAACACCAGGATGCTGGGGAGCGAGCGCTGCCGTTTCCCCGGAGGGTGGTCCAGTAAGTCCAGTAAGCAGGCCGGCGGCTCCCTCTCCACGGGATGAACCCATGCCAACGGAAGTCCACGCACGTCCCACACGGACCTGGCTGGCAGGCTGCATTGTGCACCGCGACCTGCCGGTGGGAGCTCCAGAGGTGGAAGTGAAAGTCAATGGAAAGCCATCCTGGACTCCGGCAGTGCGGTCACTCTGGTCCAGTCGCATATTCTCGCCCCCCGAACAGAGTGTAAAGCCTTCCTCCCCATAACCTGTGCCCACGGGGATACACGACAAGTTCCCGCTCGCAGGGTGACGGCTGGTGGAAGTCGGGGGGTCATGAAGGATCTTCCCGTCCCCGTGCTGATCGGGAGAGACTGGCCCGGGTTTGACCACCTGCTGGCCACGGCTATGCAGCCCCAAAATGGCCTGCTTTACTGTGTCGGGCAGCGAAGGGGGGAGGAAAAATTATTGCTGGTGGTGCCACGCACAAAAACGGAGACTGTATTGGAGCTGGCCCACTCACATCCCTTGGCCGGGCATCTCGGGACCGGGAACATCATCCAGCAGATCCGTGACCGCTTCCACTGGCCGTGCTTGGAGGCCGAAGTGAAGTGGTTCTGCCAAGCCTGCCCGACCTGCCAAGTGACATCACCCAGGACTCCTCCCCCCAGTCCGCTGATACCGCTGCCCATCATCGAGGTGCTCTTCGAGTGCATCGGGATGGACCTTGTGGGGCCGTTGCCTAAGTCTGCCCGGGGACATGAACACATCCTGGTGATTGTCGACTCTGCCACCCCGTACCCGAGGCAGTTCCCCTCCGAAAAGCCACCGCCAAAGCCATTGCCCAGGAACTCTTTCTGCTCTCTAGCCGAGTCGGCATCCCAGCGGAGATCCTGACTGACCAGGGTACCCCATTTATGTCCCGGCTAATGGCTGACCTCTGCCGGCTGTTGCGGGTGAAGCAGTTGAGGACCACTGTCTACCATCCCCAGACCGACAGACTGGTCGAATACTTCAATCAAACGCTCAAGCAGATGTTGAGATGGGTGGTCGCAGAGGACAAACGCGACTGGGACCTGATGCTCCCCTATGTCCTTTTCGGGATCCGCGAAGTTCCGCAGGCCTCAACTGGCTTCGCCCTCTTCGAGCTCCTCTATGGCTGGCAACCCCGCGGCCTCCTGGATGTAGCGAAGGAGGCCTGGGAGCAACAGCCAGCAGCCCATCGCTCTGTGATCGAGCACTTAAAACAGATGAGGGAAAGGATCGACCGGGTCATGCCATTTGTCCGGGAACACTTCAGCCCACTGCAGCAGGCTCAACAGCGCCACTACAACCAGACAGCCCAACCCCGGGAGTTCCAGCCCGGAGACCGAGTCATGGTCCTAGTCCCCAACGCTGCATGCAAGTTCCTGGCCACCTGGCAGGGTCCCTATACGGTGCTGGAGAAGATTGGGCCGGTGACTTACCGTGTGCGTCAGCCAGGAAGGAGGAGAGCCGAGCAGCTCTACCACATCAACCTGCTGAAGAAGTGGGTTGGGACTAGAGACCAGCTCGCCGCCCTCACCATCTCTGATGCCGTGGTTGTTGACGTCAACCCCCACCTCTCGGCTGCCCAGAAGAGGAAGCTGCAGCACCTGGTCGATAAATTCTCTGATGTGTTCTCTTCTCTTCCCGGGCAGACCAGCGTCCTGCAGCACGACATCCGAACGCCGCCAGAGGTCGTCATCAGGCAACGGCCCTACCGCGTCCCTGAGGCTCGTCGGCGAGCTATAGAGGAAGAGGTCCAACAAATGCTGAAGTTGGGGGTGATAGAACCATCACGCAGCCCGTGGTCCAGCCCAATCGTGATGGTTCCGAAGCAGGATGGCACCCTCCGTTTCTGCAACGACATACCCCATCCCTCGGGTGGATGAGCTGTTGGACCGGCTGGGAAGGGCCCGGTATATTTCAACGTTGGACCTCATCAAAGGCTACTGGCAGGTACCCCTCTCTGAGAATGCCAAACCTAAGACTGCTTTCTCTACCCCTAGTGGCCACTGGCAGTACCGGACCCTTCCCTTTGGCCTCCCCGGGGCACCGGCCACGTTGCAGCGGATG